TATTTACCATATCCATTGAATTAAAGCACTTTTTACATTTTTCTCGAAACTTAATTCCGAAGTTCCCGCTAGCAAATGTTGCGAGCGGAAACTAATACACAATTATTTGTTTAGTTTAGTTGCCTATAATATTGACAGAGAAAATATTATGGAATACGTGTCATTACCCATAAATAACGATTCATTCAAGAATAATTATAGAAGTAAAGGTTATATACATATGTATAACTGGCTATAATAAACATTCATATGTTCGTACATCTAGATGAAGTTTAAGAAATTTAAAAAAAAAAACATATTTTGAATGTCCCAAATGATCAGCAAACGGATGATTGAAGTTCACCAGATTTTATAACTTATTGTTAATATATATATAAGGTCAAAAATTAAATATAAACTACAATAATCAAAGGATTGAACAGGTTAATGTTGCTAAATTTCTTGGTATATTGATAGATAGTCAACTAACATGGAAACCTCAAGCAGAAAAGCTTTGCAAAAAACTTAACGTCTCAGCATACGCTTTACATAATTTGGCTAAAAAAGTTAATGTTAATACCATTCTAATTGCATACCATGGTCTCGTTGTTTCTTTTTTAAGATTTGACATTATATACTGGGGTAACTGTTGTCAAAGGGAAAGTATTTTTAAAGGTCAAAAACGATGCCTTAGATCTATTTTCAACGGACAGCTGTAAACCGATTTTTAGGAAATATAGGCTTTTAACATTTCCTTGTTTATATATATATTTGAAATTGCAGTCTTTGTGAAAACAAATAAGCACCTTTTCCCTTCATTAAGGGAAACGAGAAATCGTGCTATAAATCTAAGGTCTCAGTATCATAATCTTTTATGTACAGGCAATTACAAAACTGCTTTATTGAGAAAGAACATATTGACCATGGCCCCTATTATATACAACAAAATACCGAATGAAATAAAAGACTTAACTTATGTAAAATTTAAAAAACTTTTGTTTTCCATACTAGTCAGCAAGTGTTATTACTCCGTTAATGATTATCTAATGAACAAGACATAATATTGTAAGAAATTGATGAATAAAAAAATTTATAAAATATATAACTTAATCATGTATCTATCTATCATTGTTAATTTTCATCTGTAAAACATTTAATATGAATTTATAATTATAATTGCATTGTTAATTTAATTGCTAATTTTAATTTAATACTTAATTTTAATTTATAATTTAAGCCTTAAGGTAGAATGTACTGGAACTTATACTAGAATCTATTTTATGTACCTATTTTCTGTACCTACATTCAGAGCAAATAAATATTATTATTATTATTATTATATTATAGGACTTACATCCAAATTTTCGTTTTGGCATAACAATCCGTATCGTTTCTAACATATAAAACCAAAATTTTAAGTGCCATTCTATACAGTTTCACATAAGTCAATACTAATAAATAAAATGAGAGCTATATCCGGGGGAATTCCCAGAATTTATTTCATCCACTATAAATACGGACAGCAATCAAACGTTGAAGCTGTTAAACTATTAATAATAATTATCATAAGTTTATTGCATCCAGTCCATCAAAACTGAGGAAAAAGAAGATTTTTTAAACTAATAATTTTAGATAAAAATCAGTAATACAAAAAAGTAAGTAATACCTGTGCCGATCTTTTGTACCCTCAATAATAAATATATAATAATTTTCCTGAGCAACCTGCTCACAGATATGTAATGTTTATGACCTTTTAGCTATTTTCAACGATATTGCCCTTCTATTAGCTAATTATCTAGTGTATATTCAATTATTTTAATGTATATATATATATTCCACCATTACATCCTTATATTCCACCATTCCGTGACTTTTCTCTTTTTTCTGGTCGCATCGGAACTACATACAATAGACAAAGTGATTTCAGTTCTACGTTAAAGTGATGCTTCCCCGGTTGAGCTACCCTTATATGGACACGGTTTAAAAAAAATACATGTAATTTTACATTGTATAGTACACATGTAATTTTTATACTTCACTAAACGCTATTCCATCTATAAAACTGATTAAGATTCTATGTATTTAATGTTTGTTAGCTACAAAGCTTAAAATAGACGTTCTTAAACATAGATTTTGGGTAAAAAAATACAAAGCTAGAAATTTCATGCCGATCTTTTACTTTCAAACCATTATAAAGTAGCCCAAAAAAGAGCATTGACTTGACTTGTCAGTGAGGCTTTTCCATCATCAATTTCGAATCACTCTAAAAAGGTACAGGTTAGCTGTGGTCATGTCACTACAGCTCGAATACGGGCTGGTTCGACAAGGAACACCCTCTCGCAGAAGATCGAGGTGACGTAGTCTTTAATGGCTGCGTTTCGCCCTATTAGTGGGAGAGCCGATTCCCCTTCCCTTTTTCCCACCCTTTCCTCTCCTAGGATATTTATATGTAGATTGACCTTCTCCCGTGAATCAGTCTAAGTCTGTTCAGAAGTTTTGGGCGCTTTTCATTGTTATGGATCTAGGGAGACAAGCAAATGCGTGTCGCGGGATCTTCCGCACCCCGTGGGAGTGATACACAAAACAAGATGTTTATTGAGTCATAAGCATCCTTTCCTACACCTCAAAGGCGCCAACGCAACCCTCAACACCTTGTCGCAGATGTTCATGAGCGACGGTAACTGCCTCCCATCATGTACGTCGTCTACTCGTTAGCCGTCATTACCATAAAACAGTCAGATTTAATTAAAGTATTTAGCAATGTTATATCATCATGGTAAAAATAATCAGAGGAATCGCTAGCACTACTGATTTTTGCATATCTATTTATTAATTGGTTATATTTGTCCTGTAGAACTAGCTACGTGTTTTGCGGTCCAATCGTATAAATTTGCGAACATTACATACCTACAAGAGGTCCTAATACATAATAATTTTTTTTCAAATCTAATTTTCTTTCATCTATGTACTTGAATTTAATTGATTTTATAAATAAAATATCCTCCAATGGCAGTAGTCTTTATTATACTGTGCTTATAATTGTTCGAACATAGATTATATATAGAAAAAGTTAAATAAGTAAATATGCGGGTATACACATATCTACATTACATATACAATTACGGTGGATTCGTATTATTATGATACAAGGTTTCTAAGTTAGGCAATTTGCTTGCGAGATTTTGAGGGTAGGTACACACGAATGGGTTTTTAGAACCCAGAGTAGATTTTTCTTAAGTCCATTTCACCTATCCTACGCTTAATAGGACACGAATAAAGGTTAGAAGATTAACATTATAGTATTTTTAATATATTTACATATTTATCTACTGTTGATATAATGTAATTTTTTTCAATATTTCTTAGGTGATTATTTTTCTCTGTGAAGATTACAAGTATTTTTAATAATTGCGATAGCTAATTAATTTCGAAAAGTACTCGTTAATTAGTGCGCTTATTATAATGACGGCAGAAAAGTTGCAAGTACATTTGGACTAAATCTCCTAAACATACATAAAAGATTTTTCTTTGTGTAACATTGTTTTAACCGGGATTATATACTATGAAACATCAAAAAACGTTTGTAATGAGATAGAGTTACACTTTTTTCTGATACTTTAATACCTATGTCATACGTTTTGAAAAGCCCAAAACTTTGAATAGACCAGTGCCGATAGCTTTTAAAACATAATTTAATTATCGTAGAATGAAACTCATTAGAAAAGGAGGATAATATTATAAAAATTAAAGGACAAATAATTTACGGCCGATCTGAGGTCGAGAAGGAAATGGGGTGGGTATTTAAGGGTAAAAAATGGGTTTTCTCGATTTCCGGCAAAACTAAAAGTCCTACGGAAAAAAGTTATATGGCAAAGTTGTAGGTAATAAAATAATCTAAAACTTTTGTACTAACCTTTTTTTGAACATAACCTCAAAATTTATGTGAAAAATTCGAAAAACCAAATTTTCGGTCCCAAATACACTGTAATTTATTTGATTAGGAATATTTATTTTTTCAGCTTATTTTGAATAAATATCGAAAAATCAGCCTCATTTTCAATCGAAAAATCACCCGTCAAAATATCAGCGTTTTTCAAAAAAATCTCTATTTTCCGATGGTGAAGAAAAAAATATAAGTTTCTTAATTCCAGTACCATTTTTGGATAAAATATTCATGTCCTTTTTAATGAAATGATCCTCGACATCGTTTTGAAAATGCTCTTTCTGATTTATATTTAATAGTTGTGTACTCTGGAAGTTCTCCAGTCCATCTTTTAGGTAATTTACAGAAAATTGACATTAAGCTGCTAAGACTATTAAAAATAATTGAAAGAGTATCTATATTTTTATTACCTACAACTTTGCCATTTATTTCTTTTCCGTAGGACTTTTAGTTTTGTCGGAAATCGAGAAAACCCATTTTTTAAACTTAAATACCTATCCCCATACCCTTTCCGACCTAAGATAGCACGTAAATTATTTTTCCTTTAATTTTTATAATATCCCCTCCTTTTTTAATGAATTTCATTCTACTATCATTTATTTTAACTTTTAATTAATTTTAAAGGCTTGTGTACTGGCCTAGTAGTATACTATTAATGTTGGCTTAATTCTTATGCATGTTAAAATCTCGCAAACAAGTATATTAAACTGTGATAATCTTATTACATAGTACATATAAATAAACATAATTTTTATACCCAAATTCATCTTTACAGATAAGTTTTTGGCCTCACTAAGTAACGCTATCACAGATGCATTACAATAAAACACTATATATTATATAATAACACTTCCATGATCCTTATACTTTAAAGAAACATTCCGCAATGACAAATACTAAACTATTATTTTATATATAATCATCATGATTATATCCAACAACAAAGTTGCCTTATACATAAATTCAACACATACTCTTAACAGGTACACTGAAAACCAATGTTCATACGATTTATAACTAATACATTTCACTACATAGTCTGTTTATCTGGCAGGTACCGAGTTTTCCACCATAATTTTCATACGGCCGGTATGTTATTATTATAATACGCAGACAAACGCTCTAAGAGTGCACTGTCAATGGTTTCACCGTGAACCTCGTTCCTCATGTCCCTTGAATCACGATCTAAACTCTTCATATCACTTAATGATACTGCATTGGTAACTATGGGTCCACTATATTCTTTTGTTTTCTCTATTTGTGTATAAACCTGCATCTTCCCATCTGTGTTTTCTCTATAAGGCAGCTTATTCATTTCAATATTATCACATTCCTGATTTTTCAATGTCCTTAATGTCACTAGTTCCCTGTCCTCTTGCCTTCCTTCTAGCCTGACTTCTTCTATGTAGTCTTTTTGTTTAAATTCACTTGAGTATACTTTGAACTTATATTGTTCCTGCCTTGTGTCGAACACTTCGTTGTTGTAATCTGGGTCCATTTTAAATTGTTCATCTGATCTATTCTGAACTGTGACATTTGGTGCCTTTTTAGGTGATTTCTTTGAGGGTTTAGTTTGTTTCTTATCTAGCAGACTTTTTAATATAGGTAGCTTTGTTTCTTTCTTTTCATCTATCTTAGCGGCTTTTGTTTCCTTTGTTTGCTCCTTAGTGTCATTCTGCTTCTTTTCCTTTGTTTTATTCTTTTGTTCCTGACCTCGAACTCTCACTTTGTCGTGTATCAGCATGTGTCGTCGCAGATCGTAAGACACACGGAAACATTTCTCACATTCTGTACATTTATAGGGCTTAGTACCTAAAACAAAGTTTTTTTTTTAGTTTATAAGTCATATTGCTACTTCAGGGTTGTCTATGAGAGACATCCCTATCAAATGCTAACAAGCTGCTTCCAACGACTATAGCTTATACATATAGATCAAAAATAACAAACCAGTATGAGTTCTCATATGACTCAGCCGGTATGACGAGGCTCTAAAAGACTTGTTACAGTACTCGCACTTGTAGTTCCTCTCGCCAGTGTGTATACGTCTGTGTAAGTTGAGGGAATACCGCCGAGCAAACTCTTTACCACAGAAATCACATTTGTAATTTTTCTAGAACAACAAGGAAATTAATAATTAGTATTAATAATGTTGATATGTGTATTTATAAAGAGAAAAGTTAATATAAGTAATTTGAGTACATATATATATATATATATATATATTTATATTAAAATAGAAGGGTACAATTGTATAGATGTCATTTGTTTTAGCCCAAAGACATATACAAAAATGCTTGAGTATTGACTTATCAAAAGGAAAGTGAAAATGGATGATGCCATTGACGCTTCGCAAGTGAAGATTAAGAAAAACAGCTCTCGACTTCTATCGTACTCCTATATTAGAAGAAACTTCGCTGGTAAGGCATTCAAGAACGTATTTTGGATCGTGCTATTACATAACACCTTTTATATTAAATAAGGCCAGGCTTTTTTGTCTTTGGGCGTTGGAATAAACACGTCCATTAACCAGGCTCTTGCGAGAGTAGAGTCATCTTCTTTGCGATCCACTTAATTAATTCCTGTCTGGCGCGTCCTTGTCGTGGGAGTGGGCATCGCACAAGAGGCCGAAGGGTGTAGATGGCGCATTTCAGCAAGGACCCAATTCTGCGCGGTATTGTGTAGAGCCCGTGCCCAGGATTGCCACGGGCGACGACCTCAACGGGGGTAAGAGCGGAAACAACAGTTGTCGATACTGTCAGAACAACGGAGGAGGCAAGCCACAGGGGCGATGTACCTGGATCCTGATGGAGGGCAGCGGAAACCATCATTACTCTGGTGAAGCGTAAGAACCATATATTCGGAATTGGTTCACATACATACTTCTATGGACACCGAGTCTATAGTGCCGCGAAGTAGAGAGCAACGGGATACTACTAAACTATGATTTCCCACTAGAGTTGACTCAACCACGACCACTCTGTAGAGTGAATGACTGATAAGGCTTTTTTACTACAGAATATACAAGATTCATACCTTATCGGAGTGTATAGATGCCTTGTGGTACTTCAGATCTGACCATTGCCTGAAATCTTTTCCGCACTCGTCACACTTACAAGGACGGTAATCACTGTGAACTCGCTTGTGGATCTAAATGAAAAACATTTTATATGTATTAAAAATAATAAAATGACATCAGTTCTACAATTTGCCTGAAAAGTGTAACTAAATTCTATTTGAATCCCTTTTAATCTAATAAAATATATAAAATATATATATACAGGGTGACTGGTGAATTACTATCGATACTTGAGGACGTGATATTTGACGATCATATATGACAAAATAAAAATTAATATAACATAAATATTAATAAACTTCTAAGTAAAGTTAACCAAAAGTTATGTAAATAATTACGCATCGTATGAGCACCCTACAGATTAGGTATACACACACACACACACTCGCGCGCGGCGGCGTGTTGTTGTATCAGCACGCCGCCGCGCGCGTCCACACTTGGAACACTGGGAACGTGTACACACTTTATTTATTTATACGGAAATTTGGTCAAAAATTAAGTACCAATTTTTTTTACATAATTCGAATGGGACTCATGTACCGAGTATGCTCCTTAAATATTGATAGTAATTCACCAGTCACCCTGTATAGGTTTTACGAAACATTTTTTGTGTATTGCTTTAAAATTGTTTTTATTTAAATAGTTATTTTTATTACTAAGTTACAGGCACCGCTAGGAATTAAATAATAATGGCACATATGAACCTTAAGAGCATTGAGGGTGTAAAATCCCTTCCCACACTCTCTACAGACTTGTTGCTTCTCGCTGTGCATCAACGTGTGATAGAACAGACTGTTTCTATGAAGGAACACTCTATCACAATGAGTACATTCAAAGGTTTTCGTGGGTTTTTTCTTCTCCTGTTTAACTTCTACTGGCTGTTCTACTTTGATGTTCAGCTCTTGTTGTTCTAGAATGTTCTCTGTGAAGTTTTCGTGACTCTGATTCTCCGTTTCGAAAATCCTCTGTAGCGATTCATCTATGACATACATATCTTTAAATATGTCGAACACACAATATATATATATACATACACAAATTTTACATATTAACTAATGGTTAAAAAAAACAAATTGTCATAGTTAATTAAAAGTATATGGACTGGTCTCAATTATTTTCTACCCACCTTTTTCCGTCCTCTGACTGACTGCTAGGTTCTGAGTAACGTTAACATTGCTGGTGTGAGTGACGCTGGTCCCATGATTGACGTTGGTCACGTGGCTGGTTGTCACGTGACTGACACTGGTCACACTGGGCAAGGGCATGTCAGAGCTCTGTGTATGTATGGTCTGTGTGTGTATCGTCTGTGTGGGCTGGATGGTGGACGTGTGTGCATGTGTGCATATAGCACAGTATCCCGCACCGCCGCATGTACAAAGTGGCATCGAACTGTTTGATCCATTCCTCATATACCTGTACAAATGTATATAATTGTTAAGGACACATTAATTCTTGAGAAATATGTAAAGAAAATATTTAAAAAAATTAGATTGGAATATTTGGATTAGAGACTAAAATTTTTTATATCCAATATTTCACTGACTAAAGAAAAACCAAGTAACTAGTCCTTGCCTTCCCTAAATTCCTCATGATGTGACGTAATATTCCCTTGGAGACTCATTTAAGTAGTACCAATATAGTAAAAAACATACTGCAACTTCTGAAACATTTCCCTATTTCAATAATTTTAAAATTTAATTTATTTCCTTAGATACCATACTTGGAAGGGAAGAGAACGTTTTATGTATTAAGTTAATACTAAAACGTACGTAATTTACAATAACTCTACGAGATTCTACTGCATTTATTGATCCCCCCTCTCCTTGTCTAGCACTACTAACCAGTGTCTAACATGTTCTTGATGCACATGTCCGTTCTCTACAGTAAGATGTGGTAATAAGGCCTGGTCGTATTGCTCACTGCTACAGTCTTCACCGCCTTCCCCCTCTCCTCCCCCTTCTTCCACCGCCACGTGTATGCCCTCCATGAGATCTTCCGGGTCACTGAACTCGGATATATCATCCATCTGGAACAATCGCTAATGATTAACTATTTATTCTTGTAGGTACATATATCTAGGTGAATCTCGTGTTATATCTTTAGTTATATCCATGTAGATAAATTTATTCGTATTTTATGCTGGTGCACCACTTATGATGAATATAGCAAAAAATCTGAGGCACAAAATATCTTCAGTGGGACCTTATTTAACAACTCTATTCGAGTAAAATACAATATACAAAAAGACTTATTGATAGTCTAAGAATATATAAAAGTGAGTATTCATTAATTTTTTTTTAAGTTTCAGTCACACACTGAGATATGATGTATGTATTTAAAATACCACAGAGCCAAAGTTACCTCTTATTGTTTAATAATTAATCAACGATTATGTATGGTTATACATAAAATCATTGCAATATTCATGGTAATACTCATTTCAAAATCATATTATCAGTATACATATCAAGCAAACCAAAATCAAAACATTGAAATTATTTAGTAGTATTTATCAATATTTGATATCATTAAATAGTTATATTTAGTGTCCTAAAAATACCTTCTGATTCAGATGAGCTTCTTTTATATGGATTTCACATTGTTTCTGTTTTCTGAATGATTTATTACATTTCGTGCAGAAATACATTTCCAATTTGTCTAATGAATCAAATAAATCAACTCTTCCCTGCTCTTGTTCTTTTTCCATATTGGTTGAAGTAAATGGAATCTTATAGCTGCAAAATGTTTTGTCCTGCGGAGGGTATATTATCCTTGGAACTGTATTTTCTAGTGATAGTTCCACTATGGAATCAGGTAGAGTTGCCACATTATCCATACATGTATTTGTCATCTGTAAAAACAATATTGTTTTGAGAATAATATTGCTTAAAAGAGTCATTTACAAGGAGTAGCTTAAATTAAAGGTATAATTATATTATAACAGCTACATTCTTATAGTTCTATGACTAATTTGAATTATTCTCTCACAAGCTTGAATGCATCCCAAGCTGTGACAGAACAATAATTTATGAATATATATTATACCTTATCAATGGGCAGGTCAGGAGTGTCTAACACAAGTTGTGGTTCGTAATGTTGTTTGAGGTGATGGTAGAACTTAAGCTGTTCGTGACCATAGTATTCACCGCAAAGTTGACAAATGAGGGGCGACCGCATCTTTAAAGTACAAACTTATTTGTTAAATCTCACACTATTTTATTAAAGCACCCATGTTTATAATTTTTTTCCAATCAGCAATTTTATTATTTTGTCATCATCATTGCCTTATCATATCCTAACTTTTTTCTTCACTTTATTTTAAGTGATTTTTTTTAAAAAGTCACTATTTTGACTCGCATGGAACTTGTAATGTTATGTAGTCCAAGAGATGTTTTTAGAAAATCCTTTACTTTAATGGCTCACTGAAAATCTTATACTTCATAATTAGTTATAAAATAAAATCTTTAAACTTTAAAAAAGTTTAGTTTACCTCCTGTCCAATATGATGGGCTTCAGGCAAAACAGTTTCGTGAGGATCATGGGGATTGTGTGGATTGTGAGCATTATGAGGATGGTGGGGGTTGTGGAGATTGTGAGCATTGTGAGGATTATGGGGATCGTGGGCATCGTGAGCTCCATGGGCGTCGTGACCGTTACTGGTATTATGGGTTTCGTGAGCGTGTGAAAAACTATCTGGTAGAATTTCTTCTTGTGGAACTTCTGATCCACAATTGATCACTACTATATCCTAAAACAGTATTAAACAAAGTAATAGTCAGAACCTAGAAATAAGTTAAGGTAATGAAAATATGTTTGAGGCAAATATTTTGTATATAATGAAAACTATATATAACCTGTTGTGGAGTGCTATTGGATGTTCGTTTTAGTTTCCGTGAGATCCTCTTCTTATGAGGGAGGCTCTTTTTACTCTGCTTATGTGCTGGAGATCCGCTGGACTCCAGAACAGTATCCTGTGAAAGGAGTTGCTGCTCCTGCAAAAAGGTTTTTATGATGTTGCAAAACAAAAATTTTTATTTATATAATAATTAATGTTATTCTCTGTTCAAAAATAGTTAAATTTTCATTGGACTATTTCAAAAATAATTTTAGTCTTACCTTAAGATCATTTTTGTCTTTATTAAACCAGTCTGTTTCTGGACATCTCTTCATCTCTTGTAATGGTGGTAATGGAGGCAGAGGTGGAACTTGTACTACAATTGGTTCAGGATGTGATTCCTGCTAAAAAAACATCTAATTACATAAAACATATATGTTATTTGGCATACACTTAGTTTTTATTCAGCAACCCCGGCTTTCTTATTTCTTAATTGGCATTACCCGCATTGATTTATGTATTACTCAATTAATTTAAAAATTCTATGAAAAATAAATTTTTGCAAACTTTTTTGAGGATATCCCCACTAACTATAAATAAAAACTAATAAATGAAGACTTAAACAAGGTTTTATGTACATTCAAAGGGTGACAGATCACAGTTAAAACTGGAACAAAAGAAATGCATCTTCAAGTTGATTGATGCATTTGCCTATGTTTTTACTCACTTAAATAGTTGTTTATCAGATTTATTAATTGTTTCTTTAGTTTAACACAATTATTTTTAATACATACAAAAAGGTTGTATAAGATAGTAAATGGTTATATTTCATATTTTTATTGGGGTTTACTGAACATTAGATCCTTACTCAACTGTTAAGGATTTTATATTTTTGCAATGATACCTTTAAGCAATGTTTTTATGATAAAATTGCACCTATATAGTATAAAAAAATTTGAAGATATTTTTTAAATTCTCTTGTAAAACTTTGTCATTTTGGTATTCAATGTAGGGATAAAAATTTATGTATAAATACTCAACCTTACCAATGTTTGACCATTGAAAAGTCTCATTGGCGCATCTAATATTACTGAAGAATCTAGATCACTCCTAACAGGGACCTGAAAAAAAGTATGATCCAATAATTATTTATAAGTGTTTAACAATAAGCATTCAAATAAACCATTATAAAATATACATTTTATGTTTGTAATACAAACTTTATGCAATTGATGCTGTGTCCTAGAGTGTTGTGATAGATGTGCAACTATCGCTGCTAGTCTACCTTCCGTATCCAGAAACTCCTCAACCCATGGTCCTTCTCCAACTTGGTCACCTACTGATACTTGTCTGTTGGTAGCATTGTTAAAATGTTAATACAAATAACTTGAAAACATTAATTTAAGAACTGCACTGTGAATCAATGTTGTGTATTTATGTGAAGAATTATGCATTATACTTAATGTGAGTTAGCATATTTTTCTAGGTATTCCAATGAAATTATTCAGGTTAATTATAGGAATTATTTAAAAAAAAGGTATTTATACATTTTCATTGGTGTTTAAAATGTTGTTTCAGGTGATTGATGAATTTAGAAAATAGTTAATTATTAATATTATAAATAACAGTTGAGTAGTTTTAAAATACTTGCCTGCACATTTGAGTTGTAAAATTATGGGGGTGCATAACAGTAACCACTCTGCCATTGGAATCATCATGCACATTGAGAGCCATTGAATTTGCATCTATATGTACTGACTAAAAATAATTTTTATATATTTTTGATTATTATGCATAAACAGATTAAATTTTTTTATTGAATGTTTTCATGCATTATGAAGTGAGATATAAATTTAAACTTTTATTTTAATAAAGCTTTACTATTATAAAACCATGTCTCAATCCTGAGTAACGAGAAAAAATTTAACTGTAGTATATCTGCCTAATATTTTTATATTAATAATTATTTATTAATATATAAAAACTAAAACTGGATCTAGTAGTTAAAAAGTTGCTTATGTGTATAATAGGCAAAAATGTCCTGGATTCTTGGTAAACCGTCCAACTTTTCAACTATAAGATAAGGTACTCCTTAGCCATTGTTTACTCCTACGAGTCCAAATAAAAAAACAAAGTAACGCTAACCTCAGGTGGCTGATGAGAATTTATATAATGAGTGACGGCTTCGTCCATTTTATCTTCTAACACAGGTTCAATGGTCCTCATGTCGATAAATTAAAGAACTAATTGTTTTTAATTCATCTTTCCATGACTTGGTTAAGTTCATTTAACATTTGACAGCTGTTGCTGCATTTCAAGGTCAGTGTAAATTTAGGCAATTGTTTATTTTTAACCCCAGTTTTGTAGTTACTCGCATAAATATATGTACGTATGTTTGATAGAAAAATGCAAATAAGGTTCACATCCTGCGTTAATTATAATGTTAACACAAAGCAAGATCTCAGAGATTACAAAAGAAACATATGGCAACACTGCAGATGTATTACTAAAATTTGAAGTTTTAAAACAAAAATATTGCAATATATAAAAAAGGAAAATCTGAATGGTATACAAAACTGAAAATATTTAAGACTGTTGTATATTTTATATTTATAAGGAGAATATAATTAGAAGGTTATAATTTTATTTTCATGTACTTTTATATATTCCGGATCTGTTTATAATAATTTTAAAAGTTTGAAATGTTGTATGCATACCTAAACGTATTAGTGCTTATCAATATCTTCTGATATTGATAATGGAAATAAAGGACGAGATAAAGTTTCAAACAATAAACAGAATCAAATGAAACAAAATAGTTTTAGGTGTTCATATATACAACCGTAAGATATTAAATTGGATAGATAATTAGTATAAAATATTTAAAGATGTATAAAATATGATGATTTAAACTAAAAAAATTGAATAAATTAAAATCAATGTTTAGAAAACACTGTAACAATATGATAAAAGAGAAAGAAATCAAGTAATGTTCCGAAATTATATGAATACATTTCATTAACCATAGATAATAAACCGCCACACCTTCGTTTGTCTTGCTGTAGGCGCTATAACCCGTTAGTAGTTTTGTTCTATTATAACTGAGTCGAGGGCCTTTTGCAGTATTTATTACCAATTAGATCCTTGATTTATTGAATGATATTCACAATAATATTTTGTTTTAATTCAAAAACTTCCTCTGAGATCTGTTTAATATCTGTATATGGTCTGACAACAAATTTTTATACAATTTCAGAGATTAAAACTATATCTTATAACATTTTTATTTTTCGTAGTGAAGATATACAAAACAAAACAACGATCCAGAGATTTATTAAAAATTTTTTTTTTTTTTTTTTTTTTTTAAGACAATGCGGTCTTTAAAATCCAAAATAAATAGAAAGATTTCTTCCGTAATGTAGTGGAAAATCAATAAAAACGGATCGTATGAGTCTGGCCTTCATTAGATGAAGAGGTCTCAGTGAGCGCTTCGCCCGGTCCTAGAGCGTTGGATGAGGCGGAAACGCAAACCCCTCACTTTCCGTCTGACGCAGGTCTTAACCGGGCACGGGTGCTTTGGTTACTACCTGTGTCGGACGGCCAGGAGAGAGCCGGGAGAAGGCTGCCATGAGTGCGGCGCTGCGGTGGACTCGGCCCAGCACACCCTCGAGGTGTGCCCGAGATGGGCTGCGCAGCGCCAAGACCTTGTGGCGGCTCTCGGCGGAGTGGACCTGTCGCTTTCGAGTGTCGTGGAGAAGATGCTCGAGAGTGATGGGTCCTGGTTGGCGGTGTCCTCCTTCTGTGAGACGGTCATGTCCACGAAGGAGGCATCTCAGCGGGAAAGGGAGAGGGCGGCTGATGCTACCTCCCCCCGCAGGCGACGTACGGGGGTGCGACGGAGGCAATTCCTACGCCTCCAATAGCACCCCTGTGTTCCGGGCTGGGGTCGGCGTGGTAACCCGGCCCTTTTGAAAGCCCGGCGTCGTCGGGGTGGTCCTAATTGCCGGGATCGCCCCCATTCTCAGAGGGAGTAAGTCCGGTCTTTGCCAGGACCGGCCAGTCGCTGGTGTGCCCTGTCGCTGACAGATCCGGGGTACATCGACATAGCGGCCGATGGCTTTCGCAGTGGTTTTAGTGAGTAGGGGCCTGCCCAGGCCGAGCCTCACACATCCCTTCCGGCCCCACCAAGGTCGGTTGGACGGCTCGTAAAAAGAGTTTCCACTACGTCAACAAAAAAAAAAAAAAAAAAAGAGGTCTCAGTGAATGTTTTTGGTAATTAGTCTCTTGACTAAATAGGATCTATCACTTTCAATTGAAATATTAAGTAACAAATACTGTTATTGTCTCCCATTACTTTAGATTTCCTGAAGTAATAATTATTAAAAACCTTATTATATTTTAGATTATTCTGAAATTCTCATTCTATTTTAAAAGAAAATGTTGGAAAGGAAGCAAAGATCAAAGCTTGACGGAGTTTCCACTATTCGTCACATCTTCAACTATTTTAACGCCTGTGACTATTTTAACGTGTATTGGAAAATGTTAACGTAGGAAAATATATAAAATACGAGATTGAGAACTACATATAAGGCTTCTTTCTAAAAATCAGGCAAAGAATTTGCTTCTGTTATTATCGGGTAAATTGACGCGACTTATAAAATTAAAAAAGCCTTATCCAAATTTACGGGGACGTACTTGTTTTCACCTGTGCTTCACATATTACGGTTTTATACTGTTTATGACCATTAGGTCTATTGCATATTAATGCAGCATCATTTGTTAACAATGAGAATATATAGTGATTTTTGACTTCCCCGATTTATTATTCTGAATGAGAATTAATTACTAGAATTATTTATTATAACTTTGCTTTTACATACTTAATATAAATCCTCAAATCGCAACGGTAGCCTCTTCATCGTAGTTTTTGGTTTATAAGCACGTAGTTGTCTATTCTTGTTGCATATTTTGGATAGCACAGTGCATGATGCGTTTTCAATGCCTACTGCCAGAGGGCAATACGTCTCTAGCTCCGATAGACAATTTTTTTAGCTATAATATGTGATCTGAGTGATATGAATTCATTTTTACATTCATTCTTTATTGGTGATTAATGATAATATATGTACTTAGTAAAAGCCATGGAAAATACACTACTTAAATCAATTATCTGTTTTTTCTTTAATTTATTTACGTATAATTTATTAATAATAAGGTACTAAAATAAAACTTTTAAAATGATGTACACCAACATTGAGAAAAATAAGATAAGGAACAAAAGTTGATACATTGATTATAAATTTGGTTAGAGATTTATTTAAAAAAATTTCAAATTGAACATTTTAAATTTATAAACTTTTTGGTTTGTCCTGCAATAAGTGATGCTATAGAAAAAAGTATATCTATACATGTGACCATGTGAAAGTTTCATACAGGAAGTAATACATGACAAAGTTTGATGTTATTTTCATACTATCAGAAAGTTACGATTACTGTGATATTAAGTAATCGTCTTATTTTTTATTATATTTACTAATCCTGCCATCTATTTGTTTCCTTGGGTACTAAGTAGGCCCTCTGATGTTCAGAAACATAAACATTTTAATAAAATTTTCCTCAATTGCTATTTGTATTATCTACGACAGCGAAATTTTAATTCTTATTTCTGAAGTATGATTTTGACATTTTAAGTTTTTGACAGTTAGAAAAACAGAAAATAAGTTTTCACGTATTGTCACTATTAAATTAAATACCTATTCAAAATTTTTGTAAATGAAGTGGATGATCGCTGTGACTAATGATGTTTCGAAATTCTTTTAAAACCTATTTGATGACAAGGGGTCACGAGGTAAGGCCATTTTTATTAAAATCTACTAAAATCATGTTAATTTCGGACATAAATACTTACTACATGATATTATAACAACTTAACAAATTCACTGCATATGCCTAGCAGTTTCAAAGATGTAAACATACAAGCAAATTAGATCAAATAAGAGAAAAGTTAAGGGAAGGACCAGGCTTAGTAGATTTTACATCTGAAGACAGGCCAAAAAATTGGGAAGATTATGAAGGGAAATTAAAAAGAGAAAGAGGCCAGTCTGAAAGGTTGAGGCTACCACCCTGGTTGAAAACTACAATACCAACAGGTAAATCAGTAGTATTTTGAACATTACTATAAATTAAATTGTGCAATAATATAATGACTTAGGTTATGACCTTTCATGAAAAGATAATATAAGGTCTTAGTTATCACACTATTTAATAACAAGATTTATTTTTATACATTACTCTGATATTATTTTTTATTACAGGATCGAAATTCAGTGAGCTTAAAGCTCAATTACGCAGTCTGAATCTTAGCACAGTGTGTGAGGAGGCTAGATGTCCAAATATAGGAGAATGTTGGAGTGGCGGTAAAAATGGAACTTCTACTGCCACTATTATGGTATTTATATATATTATCTATTTTATATGTATATACAGTTTAAATTTGTTTAAGTACTAATTATATAATCATTCAGGCAATATTTAATTTTATAAAGTAATAAACTTATTAATATATTAACCATACATGAAGACTTGCTTCGCATTGATATCTTAAATTTTTTTCTGTATTAAATCTGTTTAAAAATATAACAATGTTTAAGATGATTAGAAATTGAAGACACTAACTCCTTCGTACATGTCTATGACAAACATCTGCCTTTTTCCTTGACAAAAAAGGGGGGTAAAATATAAGAATTATTTATATTCTTTCAGTTAATGGGTGACACATGCACTCGTGGTTGTATGTTTTGTTCAGTCAAGACATCCAGAGCACCACCACCACTTGATCCCAATGAACCTGCAAACACTGCACGAGCAATAAACCAGTGGGGACTAGGATATATAGTGCTCACTTCTGTTGATAGAGATGGTAATTTGAGTGTTTCATTTAATGATTCAAATCTATATTATTAAATAAAACTTATTTATATAATAATTCCAATTGTATTTCAATGTATAAAGGTTCCAATTTATGTTTTCTGTGAAGGTTGATTTTAATGTATTCCTTCACAAATAATACTGTAAAAAAATGCAACTAAATTGTTACTATAAGTTACTTTTACTGTTAGATCTTTGTCTCATTTGCTTCCTGACTTGTATGTATTATACATTTTGTAGTTATAATGTGATGACTTCATGTATTATGAAAAATATATTTTGCTAAAATAGAGACTAAATATATCATTATATATTATTATATATTCTCATTACAGATTTACCTGATGGAGGATCTGGACATTTTGCTGAAACAGTGAAGGAAATAAAATTACAGTAAGTCGAATAGTCAACTTCTGATAAAAAATTCAAATTCTGATAATAGTATCAGAAACATATTTATAATATTCTGAGATGTAAACCTTAATTTATTATCTATTATACATTTTGGCTCTATGTTGAATTTATTTATAGACATCACTTAAATTATGTAGTGTAATCTTCTATCTTCTTCTTCTATATATATATAAAAATGGATTGCTGTTCCTTAGTCTCGCTAAAACTCGAGAACAGCTGAACGGATTTATTTTATCTTAGTCTTGAAATGTTCGTGGAGGTTCATTGAAGGTATTAAAGCTGAAAAAATCGATTCATTACTGGGAAAACCATAAAAACAGCCCTTTTATATATCCCATACAAACGTTTTTTTGACATTAGATTTGACAAGTAACTAATATGTCAATCATTCTGTCGCACTTCAAAACACGGAGATTTATGGCTTACAGTTAAACTCCAAAAATATAAATAAAAAAACGTAATAGATATTTCTTGATTATAGGGCGATACGAAGTTCGCCAGGTCTTCTAGTTTTTTATAAAGCTTTAGTAATTCACCATGTACAGAATATATTAAATATATGATTAATGCACTGAGAATTTAAGTCTTGGAATTGTTACAGAAATACTGAAATCCTTGTTGAATGTCTAGTACCAGACTTTAGAGGGAACAGGGACTGTATTAATACTATTGCTAACAGTGGATTGGATGTATTTGCACACAATATAGAAACTGTGGAAAGACTCACACCATTTGTAAGAGATAAGAGAGCAGGGTATGTAGATTAAGGTATAAATATATATATAGGGAAAGTTAAATAAAGCAAATTCAATAAAATTTCAGTATATTTTATTATGTTCATCATATAATTGAGTCAAATAGTGTGTTCTCATTGGAAAATATTAAAATGGAGTACAAATTATTATTTTAATATTCAGGTACAGGCAAACATTGAAAGTACTCAACACAGCGAAGGAGATTAATCCAGATTTAATTACAAAATCATCTATCATGTTGGGTCTTGGTGAAACAGATCAAGAACTTGAACAAACTATGAAAGGTATTATTTATTATATATATAATTGCCTAAAATAAAAGAAAAGGCAATATATATTATATATATTGCCTTTTCTTTTATTGAGGATCTTTATAATAAACATGACGATTTGTAATGTATATTGATAATATGTACCATTACATTAAGGCTACAATATTTCTTATTATTTGTCTTATTTAAACATAAAAATAACTAAAATATTTAATAGTATTATAGTTTATGGCCCGTTATCATATGGTTGATCACAAAAATAAATGGATATTATTTTTATTTCAGACAAATATTTAATATTTGACATGAAATTAATAAAAACAATGTTCCAGATCTTAGATCATCGGGTGTGGATTGTGTAACATTGGGCCAATATATGCAGCCAACCAAGCGCCATCTCAAAGTACACGAATATGTGACACCAGCCAAATTCAAAGAATGGGAAGAGTTGGGCCAACAGTTGGGCTTCCTGTACACAGCTAGTGGCCCACTTGTGCGTTCCTCTTATAGGGCTGGGGAGTTCTTCATATCTAGTTTGTTAAGAGACAGGAAAGCTAATAGAGCTTGAATAAATCGATCTTATTATGTTTTATAGATTATTTATATTCTGTATATTTCTGTGTATACATTAGGTATATACATTTTGGGAGTACTGTTTTAGATTATGATGTTTGTCTAATCTGTTGTTTTCTTTAAATAGTGCTAGCCCAAGTGTAAACAATGTTGTTTATTTAAATATATATAATTTGTTTCCTATTACGTAAGTAGTTTTTGGATAAATAAAGTTATTTGAAGATAAATTGTTGTTTTATTGATTTGAGTTGGTTATTATTGAACTTAGTTTAAGTTATTTCCTCATGTCTCTAAACGGATATTAAATTAATGTTTAAAGTTACAAAAGTAATTTTCTTCATATTGCGTATTTCCTCCATAATGTTTTTGTAGAAAAAGCCTAAGGACTATAAAATCAAACATCAATCCTTATTCAATCTTTAAAGTGGTTATGGATTGGGCTATAATGATGGATATGTATGAAAAAACACAAAATCCCAGAGGATATTTGTGAGTCGGCGTCCGGCCCAGACATATTTATTTATTAGTGAATTTTAAAGCGCGTTGTGTTAATAAAGCTTGAGATTCCTAGGGAAACCAACATCCCCAAAGATCATGCTGTCAAGGCCAATAAATATCACGAGTTCACTAACGATCTCACCAGGAATAGGTTCGTTATAGTTTTGTATGCGGTAGAAGAAGGATCGAGGATAGAAGACGGGCTGTCCAGAATTAACATCAATTTGTTTCTTGAATGTACTTCAAAGGCACCCTTGTAGCTTCTTTTCAAATTTGGTTAGGTAGAGAGAGGAGCTTGACCGGTGGAGGTAAGCGTCTACCATCTGGCGGGTCAATGCCTATCGGGGAGGTAGCGATGAATGCTTCGGCGATACCCACCTCTCCGGCATACGGGTAGATGAGGAACACGGGTTGGAGGTAAGCGTCTAACGCACCTTGAATAGAGGCTTCTTATAGGGAACGTTAAAAAGGACACATGGGTAGCAAGTCCATCCAATCCATTGAATCCATTGATTGCTAAGAAGCTTCGTCTCTTAAGTTTTAGCGTCTCTTAGCCAACGAAAAGAGATAAATTATAATAATATGTACTCCAATCTTCACCAAATTTTATTACGATAGCCACAAACTTTGTCGAAAGGTACGTATATATATGTAGTAGTTTAAATAACAAATATGTATTGCTAATGTAATGTTATTCGTAGTGCACTTAGGAAAAAATATATTTGATTTTTACTCTGTACCTTAAATTATATATTATGTTATTCATGTAATATTCTTCTATTCAGTTTTGGAGATTATTTAATAATACAATAATTTTATGTTTTGGAAGTAAAACTTCTTATATGAAGTCAAACGTGGTTGCGTTAAACGTTTAACACTCCTGCGGGAAGGGGGATAGGAAGAGATGAGAGAGAGGGAATGCGTGGTGTTCGAAAGCACGCGGGCAATCAATTCTGTTATTTCTGTATGTATTTCTTGGAATAAATAACATGGAAGTATAATTTAAAAAATAATATACTATTACATAAATACTCTTTAGCTTTGAAAACGCAATAACGGCCGAAGAACGTCACTACTGGCATCATGCATGGCCGCGCAGGAGCTAGAAAAATCAACACAATGCATTCTGAATACTAAACAACTAATTCTACCCGTGTCTACCAGTGTGAGTAACTTAGAGATGTCAAGATCATTGTTATTATCCAATAATGGACATGGTATTTCGGTACATAAGTATGTAGTATTTCATATTCCTTTTATGTTTAGATAAGGACACGTAAACTTGCAGATTATACTTACTCAAATATTGTAAGGATAACTGATGTTTTAGTTTAAGAAATGAATAAAAATAAATATATATATTTTATAGTATAAAATCACAATTAGTAAAGTTACCTTAGTAATGTACCTCTGAGGACCCTAATATTAAAAGTAATAATATATTTATATTACATATATGTGATATAAGAAAAAAAAACTCTGTTTACAAGTTATAAATGTACTTTGTTATAAAACTGTGTACCACATCCAATCTTTCCAGTATTTGAAAGAAGAACGCACGAATGGCCAGCAAACCGCGTGTGTTAGTTCAACGGGGGCTTTTTACGCGCTCGTGCGGGCGACTCTGGGTTGGGAAAGATAGGTACCTACTTGATTTTAGAAATACATTTATTTCATATAGTATAAACAACTATAATAAAATATATAAAATAGTCTTATCTGAAAAATAAGACTGTTTTTTTTTATCAATCAGATTATATGCATAAATCTTTGAGAACTAATCAATCTTTTAAACGTTTTAAATCCACCACACAAATTTTCCCAATTTAAATCATAGCACAGTAATTGGAGCGGTGTGGAAATTCGCCTTCTGTGAATTCCCATGATCAAGTATGCATGTGTCACGAAACACTCTTTAGAGCCTACAAAGTACAAACCCGATTTTATTCTTTAATTGTAGGTAATTGTAACAAAAAAAATAAATTTATTTGAATTTATTTTCTATAACTATAGAATAACTTTGTGTGCATTAATTTGTATATCCACGTTAAGGGTTTTGATTATAAATGGTCTGAATTTAGACCCTGTGGATACCCTAAAATATTATGTACTTGAAAAAAGTGCTCCTGAAATTCAAGTATATATTTAAAAATGAAGTAAAATTTTTCAAAATGTACCTGTTCGTATTTCTATTCATAAATGGAAAATACCAAATCAGGTATAGAAAATCGAGAAATATGCTGGTTCGAGAAATAAGAATATCGGAAAATATGTCTGTAATTTATCATTTTTATGAAATGTCCGTAAATACAACAGCAAATTCGCCTTATAATTTAAAAATGTTCCTTATAATTAATCTCCTAAAGTTTTTATTTCACATTTTTCAAGAAAACCATTTTTCAAATGCAGTGAGGTTACCTTATTTAATTCGGAGTTTACGAATAAAAATATTTTCCACCTTAATAAGGATTTTTTAATTGCATTTCCTTCTTGGTGAGTTTTACCGGTCTCCCATTTACTAGAGCGAAACTGAAATCTATTTAAAAATATAATACGCTTTTATTTTTGGAAAATTCCGCTAGTGGCTCTGGGGAGAGAAAGCTAATTTCAATTTCATTTAGTTCTGGCGCGATTCCATGCACTTGTCATAGAATATGATGCAGAAGCTTCCCCAGAAGAAGCATCCTGATTATTTTTAGGTTTTGTTTATTAAGGAAATAAGAATTATCCATATTTATTTTTTGAACATAAGAATTTTGAGAAATAAAAAACAATTCTCACGATACATATTTTAGAAGAGTCCTGAAAATATATGTAATTCTAAATAAAAATGTCAAAATAATTTATTGCGAGAAAAATTGAAAATGAATAGTAATATCACGGGAAAGATCTATAACAAAAGCTTAAAGTTATCAAAGAAATGGCGTGTCTATTGATTCTAGTCTGGGGCTAGTAAGTGCAGGCTCGCCACTCGGGAGCGTTTGGGTTCCGTAGGCAGGCAGATTACACCCTGTCTGAGCTCCAACACGCAATTCCATTCGTTGCAAGAGGATTCCGCATTTTTATCGCTCTCTACTCGATGCCTTCACTATGAAATTGGCTTTAAATCGACCGAAGGATTTATGGTCAATGAAGTATTATTAGCATTAAATTAAAGTTCTATACAACATTATTACATGCAATTTTGTTTGACAAATTGCTAAATAAATACTCTTGTATTGTTATAAAAATATAAAGTAACATGTCTCATCCTTATTTCATGTATTATTTGTATATAAGACCACTTCATTATAGCAAAGTTTTCCAATCTGACTTTTAATAGGCATATTCCTAAGATTTTTATGAAGAAACAAAAAAAAACTTAGTTGTCGTCTGGAAAGCAATTTATGAAGACAATATGATAACACTAAATTATAATCTAACTTTGTGTTGTAATATTTGGTTACGGGAATATAATCCCCTTTTGAGAAACGGTACCATTATTTACTTCTTAGACGCTGTTCCTGAGCATTTGCCAATATCGGTAGGGAGCATGTACATTATCGCTATTATTACTAACACTATAATTATAATTGTTTATTTCCTTTGAACAAGATAACATTTTGTTTTCTAATAAATAGAAGATATAAGCTATATTTGCTCGTAAATCATAAAAAAATAGTTTTAAAAGTTATTATATTAAATGTTCTGTTAGATTTCCTTTACAGTGGAAGAAAATAATAAAGGGTAGATTGATTAATTTATTTCTTTTAATCAATTCTGCCAGTGTAAACGGTTCACAAAATCATAGCTCGTTAGAACTTGATTAGAGAGGCCACAATGAGAATCTGCTGTTATCTCAACGAGGGGCGGAACTTTTTAAACAAACATCAGGATTGGCTATATCAAGAAATATCGTGGCTGAAACGAAGGAAGAAATTAAAGAATAAATTGTCAATTTTAACTTTAACAACCGAAAAATACTTCTGACTTTTTTATAATTTGGTTCATATCATTAGATAAGTATTATTGGGTACAACGACTTCTATAGTTTTATATACATATATATATTATTAACAAAATTCTAAAACATTTGTAACATCTGTGAAACAGCCATAATGGAATCGAACTGCTGAATATTTATCGTCAGCAAATAGATAACTTTTCGCACTCAATGGTAGTGCAATCACAAATACATTAGTGTCCGGGCTCATAGTGGCCAGTATGCAAACGCAATCGAACCGTCTCGAGTTTATACTAGTTTGACTAGCTAGAATACTTTAATAGCTTCTGGAGTCACTTAAAGGAATCATTTTAATTAAATATTTAAAAATAAATATTATATAGACTTTTAAGTATATTTCTTCATAATAAAAGCAGTTTTGGGAGGGGTCCGTGGATACGGCGTAAATCTTTTTTATATCTACATATATATATATATATATATATATATATATATAAATTAATTGCTGTGAAATTGCTAATGAATATATATATAAATTAATTGCTGTTCGTTAG